CTTACAAGCGGGATCACAATTTTTGTGGCTGTTTCATTTACTGGGGAAAGAAAACAGTGTTTTACTGCAAAAGGACACCAGAGGCCCTTTAATTCTGGTACTTCTTACCCTTGAGTCATAAAAACAGGCTAAGATTATGGAGGAAAAGAGATTAGAAGGCAGTGTTTATAACCTTAGGCAAAACTATACCCTAAACTAGCTACAAAAATAAAACTTTTAAAAACATCACATTCAGAACTATGATTTTAAACCTCTTCATTTAACTTTGCTTTGCCTTTGAAGGCAAAAACTCCTTGAACTTTAAATAGCTTTTAAATTTTAACTCAACTCTCTCATTGAATTTTTCAAGTCCCACTATTAGCTGGGTTACAAACAGTGTCAGTAAGAGAGGCCCCTCACTCACTGTGTTCAGGTACTGCCAGTTTCCATTTCTAGGGCCAATTTCCATCCTGCTGACCAAAGGATGTGGTCTTCATAAACCCAGAGGGTGGAACAAACGCTAAGGGAGCAAAGCTCTGTTACCTTCAAGATCTCTGCCTTCCTCACAGTGAGTTTTAAGTATACTAAGTAAAAGTGGAAAGGAGGGAAAGTGGAGAAACTATTTTTTTCTCGGCTTATACAAGATTGGGCAAATGTCTACATTAAATCTCACAGGAAGCCTGGGTTCTTTGATGTTAATGTAGTGACTGCAAATGAAACAATGTGCTCAGGTAAACATTAAAATAAATTTCCAGAAAATGTGACCTGCATAAGTGGTGCTCAGCCCCAGTAGACATTAGAATCACGGGAAAGCTTTTAAATAATGAAATGCCTGGGCCTTGCCCTCCTGAGATTCTGACAGTTGTCCTGCCTGAGCAATGGCGTTTTTTAAATCATCAAGATGGTTTTAATGTGTAGGAGGGCTGACAACACAGATCCACAGCTTACCAAGTCAAGACTTGGGCAGAGTTTTAACCCAAGGCGCTGGTTGCTTTAGAACCAATAATCCCTCACTTAGGCCTGTGTGGTGCCAGGCACTGTGTTAGGCTCTGAGGATGCAAAAATATTTGAAATCAAAGACTTCATAATATATCTGCAGTTCAAATTCCTAAAATGTAGCAGCTTTTGTTAATCTTCCATCATTTTTTCCTGTAAAAGGAATGTGCACCATCATATATTTCTGATGAAGTAAACTCTTTAAAAACACCAACCTTGATTTGAAAATGAACCATAATCTGAAAAATAAGAACACAAATGACAATAACAATTAAAATATTTACTAATAAGAAGTGAAGATTATGGCTCTAGGATTCAGGTCAACGCTAGAATCATGAGTTCAAAGTAGATAGCCAAAAACCTCCTTTTCGGATTTATACACAATCTGTTTTTAATGAAAAATTCTAAGAGTAAAAAGGTCCATCACTTAACTACTAATAAGCCAAGAGACCTCTCACAACACAGAGCTGGAAATCACCAGGCTGAAAAGCAAGAAAATGCAAAGAAAGCAGTTCAGGCTGGTGCTTTGTGATAGAGAGAGGAGGCCGCTTACGGCCAGCAGAAAAGCTGAAGTGATGGGATGATTTTGAACAATTAAAACTAAGGAAAACTCTCTAGTTTCATCAGCCAGAAATTTAATATGGCTTTACTTCTCTTGATACGTGAATTCTAAGGAAACATAACAGTCCATATTCAACTGTGAAAATAAAAACATACTCCAAAGTTAAGTGAAATTATCTGTAGATTATTAGTAAATGAATTAAAAACCTTAATTTGATCCATAAAGGGGCACTTTCATAAAAACTGAGAGCTTGACTTTAAAAAAGCATAAACGGTATCTTGGACTTTATTTGAATACAGAAACAATAAGCATTAGTGCTATCGTTATGACCAACAGTAACATATATAGGTCTGATTGCAAAGTTAGTGCTAACAATGAGGTTTTGTGAGGAAAATCTGGAGAGCACATATCACCTGTGATATTGATTAAAAATACATCAAGTTTTCTTCAGATTTAAAACGAATCTCTATTCCAAGGCCACCTGTAAAAAGGCATTCTTTCTGAGAAACCTGTAGCACTTATTTTGACTCTCTTTGTACTTGATTTCCTGAGAACTGCAATGCTTTTTCAATCATGAGTTATCTGAAAGAGGAGTTCTTATCGTCCGATGTCTTTGAAATCCTCCACCACTCCTATATATAAGTTGCTTACTACTATCCCCACCACTGGTAACTATGATGATTCTGAGGATGAGACAGTTCATTGGGCCCTATTACATGCCAGGTCCTTAATGCATCTTAAGTATTTTATATATTATCTCATTTAATCCTCACAATTAACTTACTCATTCATATTTTAAGGGTGAGAGGACTGAAGCTAAGCAAGATTTTTAAATTTGTCCAAGATCACAGAATTAGCAACTGGCAGAAGTAAAGCCAAAGTTCTTTAGTTTTCTCCTTTTTTTCCTAATTTGGAAATCAAATACATTCCAATAATGTATGCTAACTGTAGGAAAATTCTGAAATCTAGAAAAGCTGAAAGAATAAAAAGGCTTAACTCTGAAAGATAACTGTAGGAGAATTTTCCATGTATTCCCATCTTTTTGCTGTGCCTTTTACACCAGCACCTGTGACCTTAAGTACCCAGTTCTGCACCCACTCCCTGCTTCCCTCTTTGTGCATCCAAACCTGCCCCTTAGGGATTCCTGGTAATTCCGTCCCCCATCCTGTGCTCTGGTGGAAGTACATGCAGACTCACAGAATCACACCTCCCTCCCATCTCCCCCAGGGTTATCATCCCTCTGCCCTGTCTATCCCTTATCAAAAAAACTGGCAAAAGGGAAGAAGCAAAACCAAATGACCAGACAAACCAAGGATTTCTTAAACACTCCAAAGTAACATAATGAGTCACTGGGAAACAATGTCTCAGGTCTCAGCGTGTAGAGATAGAAGTTGTCATCAAGCCAGGTGTCTGGAGAATGGATAACAGGCAAGACGGAATCTTTAAAGTTCTACAGGAATCTAATGAAGTATGCTTTAATCTCTCATACACACACACCCACGCGCGTGTGCACACACACAGCTTATAACTGTCTCCCTAGTGACTTTCTTCTTGAGTCAACATGTCTGAAACACCAATTTCAGAAAGTATAATTGTTGTGACTTCTTTGAAGGGCATTTTGGAAATAGCCATAAGAATGTAAAATATACTTTTTTTTCTTTTTTTGACGAAGATTAGTCCTGAGCTAACTACTGCCAATCCTCCTCTTTTTGCTGAGGAAGACTGGCCCTGAGCTAACATCCATGCCCTTCTTCCTCCACTTTATATGTGGGACGCCTACCACAGCATGGCTGCCAAGCAGTACCATGTCCGCACCCGGGATCCCAACTAACGAACCCAGGCCGCTGAAGTGGAACGTGCCAACTTAACCGCTGTGCCACCTGGCCGGCCCCCTAAAATATACTCTTTAATCAGTAGTTTCATTCCTAGAAATTTCTTCTTCAGACCTACTCAAACAAGTACACTAAAAGTAGGTACAAGGATATTAGTAGCACACTGTTTGTAATTGAGAAAAATTAGAAACCACTTAGGGCCGGCCCCTTGGCCAAGTGGTTAAGTTCATGCACTCCACTTCAGCAACCCAGGGTTTCGGCGGTTCAGATCCTGGGCACAGACCTAGCACCGCTCATCAGGCCATGCTGAGGTGGTGTCCCACATAGCACAACTAGAAGGACCTGCAACTAGAGTATACAACTATATACTGAGGGGTTTGGGGGAGAAGAAGAAGGGAAAAAAAAAAAGATTGGCAACAGGTGCCCATCTTTAAAAGAAGAAAAGCCACTTACATGTCCATCAATGAGGGACTACCGTAGGTGCTAGGGACACAGAAGCGGTGGCTGCCCCTCATGGAGTTTCATTCCGGTGCACGTCTGACCTCGCTGCAGTCTCTGTCTTACTCTAAAGCACAGCTCTGTGACTTGCATTCTGGAATCGCTCCACTGCTCCCTCAGATGGTATCATGGAGAGATCATAAAATTAGCAGGAACAGCTAAGAGGAGGACCAGCTAAGCTGTGCACCCACCAAGGATTCTCCCACATCTGGCCCATCAGGGTCACTGTCAAACACCTCTTCTGGAAAATTCCACTTGAATGTCCCCTTCTCTTGACAGCACTCAACTGACTGCCCTTGGTCTCTTCTGACTTGCACATTTCTGGTTGCATAAGCTGAGCTTGGAGAAATGCTTCTGGCCCCTTGGATCTTCGCAGCCTGAATTGATACTACTTGCTAGCATACTGAATGGACTCTCTCCCTGGCCTTCAGTTTTGCTAACTTCCTTGATCTTGGTGTTTCCCCGAAGCCCGAGGTCCACAGCTGGTGTGTGTTTAAGCTGACACTGGAAGCCAGGTCTCCTGACTCATGATACGTGATGCCATTTAAACTTAGAAATCTGCAGTTCTTGGCTAGAAGGTTAGGAAATTTGGCATCTACTACTCAGAGTATTTTTCATTCTCTGCTTTGTTTCTCTGAGTTGGGATCTTTCCATTTTGGCCAGATCTAAAGGTGTGGCTCTTATTTAAGCTTTGCCTAGTATGCATTTGACAAAGTCAGCTTTGCATTTGCAACTTTACTCTGTTTTGTGCTTCTTGTTGTTGAGTTCTCTGTCATCTTTTAAAGGGAGTAATTTATAGCATTTAGATCCTGCAAAACACTGGGACCGTGCTAGAAATTATTTGGCAAAAGAGAAGATGAAGGGGTGCAAAGTCAGCACTGCTATTAAACAGTGGCAGCATCCCTCCTCTTCTCGGGGTTGAGATGGTAATAGGATGTGAGAGGAAATTAATAACAGCAGACAGACTTTGTCTAAGAATCCAAGAGTAGTTTCCTCATGTAATATTTACCCATTGGGTTCTGAATATGTGCCCACTGTAAAATATCTAGGCACAGAAACAAAATTTGGAGGCTACTACACAACAAATTTGTGGGATCAAAATGAGTTTATTTTTCTATGTTCGTTTTCTTCAGGCGAAACTTGGTTGAGGAGGTAGACCTGTTGGCCCTTAAATGTGAAGAGAATTAATACAACAGAACCACAGGATAACTAAGGTCCAAGATCACAATTTCCCCTGTGGATGGTTCTTAAGAAATAAAACTCGAAGTGATTGTTAGGTACGTACAAGTAGATTCTATTTACCCAGAAACAAGTCCTTCTCTAAGTCTAAGACCAGAAAAGTGGTAGTAGAGTCAACTCCAAATTATGGGTTTTTTTTAAAATCATTAAAATGTTCAAATCTCTCCATACACATACATACATGTGCACACTCACACACACACATCACATTTCAAAGTTAATATTTGAGCATTTTTTATAAATATTCATTTTCTTGTTGAAGATTTATCTGATGACACTATTTGCTAATTACCTGGTATTAGGGTAAATGTTTAAAATTTTGTATGAAAGAGATTCAACACTTCAGTGGACTGCAAATAACAAAGCCTATTTTTCTCTCATTTAACCATCCCACAGGGTGAATAAGCGGGCTGCCCGGCTCCACGTTGTCAATCAGGGATCCAAGTTCTCTCCATCTCTCTAACTAACCTCACCTGCTCTCAGAACCTCGCCCTTACCTGGTGTACCTCCTATCTTTTCTGCCACTCCTTCTCAGTTTTAGGGGGGCCAGTTCTCCCTCATCAGCCCTACTTCTAAAGGCTAGGGTACAGGGTTCAGTCCTTGGATCGATTCTTTTGTCTATATCACCCACTCCCTAGGCAATCTCATCCAGTCTTGTGGTAGTAACTAAAATCTCTATTGATGACTTCCACATGAATACTCTTAGTCTGGGTCCCTCTTCTGAGCTGCAGACCCATAGTTTCACTGATCATTTAACACCTCCGTTGGAATCTAGTGGACATCACAAACTTGCATGTACAAAACTGAGTTACAGATATATCCCTCCAAACCCTCCTACAGTCTCCCCAATCTAAATTAAAAGCAACCCCATTTTTCAAGTTCCTCAAGCCAAAATCTTGGTATCATCGTTGATTCTTTTGTTTTTCCTCTCTCACAGGCCATAACTAGTTGCTCAGCAAATCCTCTTGGCTCTACCTTCAATATAATCCAGAATGCAAGAGCTTCTCCTTCCATTGCCTTGTCTATACCACTATTTGGTCTCATTTAGTTTCCTATAATGGCCTAATACCTAGACAACATTTCACATCTCCCTTCTGGGCCTTATTTTTCTACTTAGCCTTTATTTCTAACAAACTATACATTATACTTGTTTACCCTCTTTTACTGTCCATCTGAGCTCAAGGCAGGTAGGGATGTGGGTCTCGTTTGTTCACTGATGTATCCCCAGCATTTAGAGTGCTGCCTGCATGCAGTGACTCTCAGTAAATATTAGTTGTGTGAATGAATGATTCTTGTTTCCTCTCCATTGTGTAGGGTGTTTTTCTTTTTTTCTTTTTTTTTTTTTTTGCTTGAGGAAGATTGTCCCTGAGCTAACATCTGTGCCAATCTTCTTCTATGATACTCAAAAGTATGTGGGACACCTCCAAAGCAAGGCTTGATGAGCGGTGTGTAGGTCTGCACCTGGGATCCAAATAGGGTGTTTTTCTTACCTGCATGGTTGAGACTCGATCCTAGTATGGTCCATGTTTAGCACCCAGAAATGGGGAAGAGCATAGGGGGGTGCATGCAGCGTTTCACGGTCTGAACCTGAAAATGGCACATATCACTTCCATTTATATTCTATTAGGGAGACCTTACATACATGGCCATATTTAGCTGTAAGGGGGTTTGAAAATGGCACTCCTAGCTTATAAGCCATGGACCCGCCTACATTGCTATAATTCAGAAGAAGGGTGGGACAGAATTGGGTGGACAGCTGGCAGTCTCCACCTTACCTGTTATTTACACAGCTCATTTTATCCAGAATGACAACTCAACCTGCTTTGGAGTCCCAGAATTAAATTACAGACTGAAGGTAGACCAAGCCATCCGAGAGGGTGTAAACCCAAGAGTGTTTTATGAACCACTGACCACCAGTTTGCTCCCTACAGCACAGCTGAAGCAAAGCCCCTTTGAGAGGCTTTGCCAAGTCCCGGCTATTCTTACTAACTGCTTTAGACAGCAACTGCCCAGACATGTGGCCCATACCTTTAGACTTTTATTATTTTATTGCTCAGTGCAACCTGCAAAAGTTGTATGGAAATAATATTGAGAACAAAGGGAAAAAAGAAGTGTAGGTGAAATCTGTTGAAATCGTATAACGAAAGAAACTTGTTACTGAGTTTTCTATTCTTATCTCCTCAATTACCAGAACTCCTGAAATAACAGAACAATGGACTAACTTTCCTCCTTCTGATGGATTCTAGCAATCTATGGAATGACCTCCAGAGAAGTGGATGATGTAGAGCATGGGATGTGGAAAATCTGCTCTCCAAAGTCCAAGCGTAGATCTTTGCAGGAAACGTAATCTCAGGTATTGAAATTAATCAGTAGACTAGAAATAACACTGTTATGCTTTATCTAAAGTTTAAAAAATCTTAAGGGCTGGCCCAGTGGCACAGTGGTTAAGTTCGCATGTTCCCCTACGGTGGCCCGGGGTTCGCCAGTTCAGATCCCAGGTGCAGACATGGCACCACTTGGCAAGCCATGCTGTGGTAGGCATCCCACATATAAAGTGGAGGAAGATGGGCACGGATGTTAGCTCAGGGCCAGTCTTCCTCGGCAAAAAAAAAAAAAGGAGAATTGGCAGCAAATGTTAGCTCAGGGCTAATCTTCCTCAAAAAAAAACCTTAAATCCTTTTAAGTCTGGTAAAATTAATTCTCACAGTTAGCAGCTAGAGTTTATGTTCTGATGCATCAGGATATAAACATAACACAAAAAAGCATTTTAATGATGCCTACTCTTTCAGCACATAAAATGTATTAAGTACCTGAAAATAATCAGGGTTCATATCAAGAAGCTTTATTGCTTCAATGCAAGAATTTACAATATTTTAGACAGTGAGTTTGTCCCTCTGACAAAGAATCCAGAGAAACAATTTCAAATGAACATCCTTTCCTCCAGTTTTTACTGTCTCCCATGAAGAGTGTTCAGATAAAGGCCGCTGGTGGGAGCAAGCGGGGGAGATGGGGCCTCTCAATTGTACACGGAAAATCAGTGTCTCGATCGCTGCAGCCCCACAGCGGCTCTGCCCCGAGACCGTCTGTGAGAGCCTCCCCCTTTCCAAATAACTAGCTGCATTCTGGATTTCGCCTGACTTCTAACTTATTAACACACACAAATCATTAACACATAGGATATGCAACGTTAACGTTAATTCTTAGTTACTATTTTAGAAGTTTCTTTTCTTTTCATTTTCTTTTTTGTTTAAAGATTGGCACCTGGACTAACAACTCTTGCTAATCTTTTTTTTTTTTTCCTGCTTTTATCTCCCCAAACCCCCCCCCCCGTACACAGTTGTATATCTTAGTTGCACGTCCTTCTAGCTGTGGGACGCTGCCTCAACGTGGCCTGACGAGCAGTGCCATGTCCGCGCCCAGGATCTGAACCCTGGGCCGCTGCAGCGGAGCACACGAACTTAACCACTCGGCCACGGAGCCAGCCCCATGAAGTTTCTTTTCTTGATTATAGCTATATCAGAAACTCTCAGTTTATTGAAGAAGTTATGTACCTTGATGTTCTCAGCATTTACTTGTTTTTATTTTTAAGGACTTTACAACTTGTTGTTGGGAGATTATAAAGAATCTTCATACCAAGTGAGACTCTTAATAAAGTAGAGAAATTCAATAGCATTTTCCATTTTAAAAAATACTCTGATGTACTTTGACTACAACACCAAGCAAAGCAGCAACACGAACTGTCAAATCAGAAGAGCCCTCTGTGCAAGGCTAAAGAAAATTGTGACTAGCACGGTCAGACTCTTTCCTTCTTTATTGGCGCTTCTCGATTAATAAATCCTTGGAACAACCCTTTTAGGGATCATTCCTTAAAATATTAGCATGTTACCTAACTGGCTCCTTAAGTTTCTAGAAAACTAAGTAACTGCAAAGAAAAACTAATTTTTAAACAATTAAAATATGGTACAAATCATTTGAATCATTTGGGCTCTGAATTGTAATAAAAATTTTACCCTCTCATCTCATGCCGTTTTCACAGCTGGGAAATGCTCATTTTGCTTGTACTTTAATATAGAATTATCTGGATTTTTAAAATAGGACTCAACAGGCAATCAAGAATCAGTAATAGTAATGAGAAATGTTTATGTAACACCGAGCCTATAGAGGTTTTGTTTCTATCACATTGTATGGTTAGACTGCCTAGTCCCGCTGGCTATACCATTCTCCGTAGTTCAAGACTAGCTCCAGGGTAAGAATGGCCTGGCTGTGCTCTCTAGAAGGCCAACTTCAGAATCGTGTGAGAAATATTTGTTCAAACTTCATCCTCTTCAGTTCTGTGGATCCAGCCCTATCTGCCAAGGCTTTAGAATTATTTTTCTTTGTGGCCATACTTCTAGCTGTCAAGTAGATTATTATTGTTTTTCCATTTTTCTTAAGATTATGCAAGGACAGAGGAATGGAAAGCTATTTTTCTATGAAGTAAGGCATATAAAAGGGTGAGTATTAATTCAGATTTACTGCCTTAGAACTGGAAGGTGCTGGTCTTCTGTTGAGCGGTGTGCGGAGCTCATACACACTGCGCATTCCTGGCACATTTTTGTTCTCATTCTCAGTCTTCTGAAACAATTAGTCCATTGCCTCTCCAACCCGTTCAGATTCATTCTGTAGCAACCATGGTTGTCATCTGTAATATTTACTTAAAGCCAAGAATTCATTATTCTTCTGACCTAATACATCTGTAAACAGTAGATCATATAATCCATCTGGTAGTCTATAAATAATGCCGTTGGACAACAACTTCCTTTTTTAAATATTTGACAGTTGAACTCATAAAAACATAGCTTGAAATGATAGCCCTTTCCCCTACTAATCCATGAGGTTTTCCCTGCTTCATCGAGTTGTAGGTTTTGACACATAATTATACATATGCTTCCCACACACCAAATGTAAAAGAAAAAGAAATCACTTCCCAGGTGAAATGCAAAACATGTTGAATTACATAGTTATAAAAACATCTTATAGGGTACACGCTCTGTGGGATTATTGAACTTTAGTCGCAGCCCAGGCTTTGCAGATGTGGGCAGTACCCCAGGCATTCTTTGGAACGTTAAAGATTTCACAGCTTGGTATTTTTTGGTTACTCTCTCCTAAGAAACATATAGGAAAAAGTATTTTTCAAGCTTAAGAGAAGGGCCCATTGAATGAGTTATTTAAACTCCCCTCCTATTTCTTAAGCTGAGGGGTGGGAGAGAGCAGCTTGCAAGAAGAGACTCTGTTAGGGTGGGATGTTGAGTGAATGATTCACCTTTCCACAGGGACGCTCTCTGCTCACTGGCTCTGCCTTCCTGGATGTTTGCACATGTGCTTGTGGCATTTGAGGTTTGGGGGAGAGCCAATCAACGTGAAATATTTTCCTGCACAATTGCATACCTTTCTCACAACCTTGATAAAGCACTACCACCAGCACTGATAACCTACAAAACGTGTTATGAAACGTGACCCTGTTTCTCTGGCATTGCACCCAAGGTCATGCTCCAATCCCTGCTCACCTTAAAGAACCACTGCTGAGAAGCGCTGTCGTCCAGGTCAGCAGCTGGGGCACACCCTGATCGATCTGCCCACTGCAGGCCACTGACAAACACACTCTATCCTTAGGATAAAATCTCAAATGCTCTATGTGGCCTCCAAAGCCCTGAATGGTATAACCCGTGCCTACCTCCTGCTTCAACCCATACCCATCTCCACCTCAGGCACCACATGACAACCATGCTGGCTTCCTTTCATTCCCCAAAAGGCCAAGCTTCTCCCTCAAGACCTTGGATGTTCCTTCATCCCAGCATGATTCCCATCTCCTCAGCACTCATCTCCCACCCCTCACACACACAGGCACATGTATACACACACACACGCGCACGCACACCCATACATACCCTCTCTCTTTGCTAACTCCAACTCCAGCCTTCAACTCTCAGTCTAATGTCATTAACTCAAAATATGGCCTTCCCCAAACCCCCAAATCTAAATTAGGCTCTCCTTTAACAATGCAAAGTATCCTACACTTCTCTTTTATAATACATATCACTATTTGAAAATGTATATTTATTTTTGTGACTTGGTTTTAAAGATTTTTTTCCCTCACTAGGCTAATAGCAAACTCCAAAGGAGTTTGGCTCTCTTACTTACCACTGTGGTCCTGGCAACTAGCATGCAGCAAACACTCCATAAGTAAATACTAGTGGAAAGAGTGAACTTCACTTCCACGTTGCATGCCAGGAGGACAGGTCTCAGAAGACTGGCCAACCATTTTCCAGATTCAAGGTCCCTTGCGCTATGATGAAGTTTTTGAAAAGGACCAGAAGCTGGATTTTAATTGTCATAGAGCCAGCTCATGCCCAGAGATTGCTATCTAGCCCTGGCACTGAACCATCCTTCAGAAGAACAACAGCTCATTCTCTGCCTGGTTCTAGCAGGAGAGGGCTAGGTGCAAGTTCCCACAAAGTCCCCGTGCATGACAGTGAGAAGCTATTTGTACGCTTCCCTCTGTTCTCCACAGATTGTATACTTTCTCCACTTTCCTCTGGACATCTTCCTCCACTTGCACAGTTAGAGGGCATTAAAACACTCCCAATAACTGGTTTTTCTGTCTTCAAATGTTGTTAGGTGGAGTTAAGGAATGTTATCTTTTGCAACTCCTCAAATCAAATTATCGCATGTTGTTAAGCCTGAACAGGAAGACCACATCATACAAACGCCAAGTCCAATCCTTTATCTACGGGGTTCTCTAACTGGGAGAGCTTAATGCACATGCCGCTACCTTGAGGCAGGATAGCTGTTGCCTCGCTACCTCCTCATGCAGCTGTGGGACAAGCCATGGCTGAAGCATGTTCAAACCAGCAGTGTCACTGGCCTGATAGTGAACACATGCAGCCCTATCTCACACTTTTCTGAAATTTCTATCCATATCATGACGTGAAGAGAATGCTGCTCGGTCATAAAGGACACAGTCTCCTGAGAGGAGCTCGGTGGCCCTCTGTGGGCAGTCATGTGTGGAGACGAGCGTAGTCCTGCAGCCACTCCTAATAACCCCTAGTTCTAGGCAGGCCTGGGTCACGTGTGACCTCTCCACAGCTAGCGTCTGACCCAGGGCTGTAGCCACAGCGGAGACACCCCTTAGCATCCCCCAAGGCCGTGAGCATGACTAGTAGCAGTTACAAATAAATCATTGTTAGAAATTCTTGCTCTAGGCCAGCTGACTTTACAGTTCTTGGTCCATTTGTTTTAAATGTAGTTTCCTTGCAGTTCCTAATAGGTCTTGGCCATACATAATTTATAGCTTCTATTTTAAAGTGCTATCAGAAATCGATAAGAATATAAACACGCGCACTGTTATAAATGTCCTCACGGCCGCCGTCAGCCGCCTCGTGCGTTCTCTTCACAGTAATCGCTAGAACGATTGAAGGGCTTTTCATGTCAGTTGTTTCGCTCCAGTTGAGCCAAGCTGAATGAACTCTTAGTTAGAGCTGAGGAAGAACTCTACACTGGACTTTTAATTAGGGAGCAATCACTGAAAGCACAGTCAGAGCTCAGGCCTGCAGCGCAGCTGAGGTTTCCAGATAAAGAATATATACCGTACAGATTATGCTGGGATGTTTTTCCAACCAGCAAATCTAATTAAATTACTACCATGTAAAAGTCCCTTTTTGGTATTTATTGAAGACTTTAACTATGTTACCTGTATTTGGTAGTTCAACATTACAATGTGACAATTGCTTCATTAACGTTTGACCAATACCTTCATTAAGTCATTCAATAAACATGTTCAAGTCACCATGCCAAGTATTGGCGTTACCACAATGCATAAGTTGCCATCCCTGCCTTCAAGGTATCTTCAGTCTACTCATTTCTGTGTTTTAATTCTTCCCTAAACTCTGGAGGATGGGCAATACGTCTCATTCATCTCTATGTTCTCAGTGTCCTACTGAGTGCCTGGCACATGGTAGGTACAGAATAAATTCTTGTTGAATAAATTGGTAAATGAATAAACTAATAAATAAATAAAGAATGAATTAAGAAACAGAAGCTACTGAACAAAAATTTAAATATCTAGGCCTCCCAGAGACCATCAGACCAAGAAGCAATAGGCATTTTTCTCTCTCTTCTTTGAGTTTAAAAAACAGATGAGACAGACTCTGCCATCACTCCCACCCAGCAGGCCTCCAGTAACTATTTTCCCATGCACACATCCATTTCCCTTGCTCTTTCATTTATTCTCTATGAAAAAAATGTCGAGAGCAGCATGGAACCAGGGTGTTTGCTTTAATAAGCAGCTAGTTATCCAGGGCTTCCTCTCCTTCCATCTCCCAAAGCAAGTCACAGGCCAGCTACCGTCAGATTTTGACTGGAGGTTCTGCTAACACAGGCATTTCCTTCTGCGGGTTTATTAGACCAAGGCTGTGCTTCAGGGCTCCAGAAATCAGGTGCTCCATGGGAAGTGGAATGTAACACACAGGGCAGTCAACTCCTCGTGTTCTAAAATCCACTACGTAAATGGAGTCGTGTTTGAACGGGGCGCCAGATCAGTCTGTGGATCTCGCTGACAACTTCTAGGATCGCGTCTTCCCACGGAGTCCAGGAAGAGCCTATGTGAGTGAGTCCTCAGCAGGCTCCCTGAAGATGCTCGGGCAGCCGCCTGGAGCACCATTGCCGGACACTTCCGTGAAGAGACCCAGGAAGAAATCAGCCTTTCTCAACTTCAACCATGGGGAACGTTCTAGGTGATGGAAAACAATGGTCAACACAGCGTCACTTCTCAGAATACAGATCATTAGGCTGCACATTTTTGGTTTTGGGTGTGAAACAATCACAATTCATAAATCATGTTACTTTCAAGACTGTAATAACTGTGGATCAGAAAACTCTTCAAAGGGTTCTTTATTAAAAAAATTATGCATTCATTTAACTAAAACCTTATCTACAAGGTAACAGGCAGCAAATTAGGTGATAAAGGTGAGTGTGGACCCGCTCCTGTCCTGGAGGGGCTCACAATCAGGAGAGGAGGAGCTGCAGACCCAGTAAGTGCCATGGAGGAACTCACACAAACTGCCCTCAGCGCGGAGAGAGAAGCGCAGCCTCCTCTGTCTCACGCAAAGGCGGCCGGGTAGCTCAGTGCTGAGGCGCGCGAGCCCTGGAAACAGACCGCCCTGCCCACAGCCCCCTATCGAGCCCCGCCTGGTGAGGACCCACTCGGCAAACACTTAACTCTTGTCAGCTCCGCTCCCCAAACCGAGATGCCTGGCTTGTTCTATCCACTGCATCTGAAACACTGTCTTTGCCCCACATGTAACTCCATTTCTTCCCCTCATTATTGAATATTCATTCCCCTCCTTAAATCTTTATTAAAAATCTAAATACATATTGTTGCTGTGCATTAACTGCTAAAAGCTGTTTCCAAGACTAATGAGGATATTGCCAAAAAAATCAGGCTTGAAAGAACCTGGGTCCCAAGGGCATAGCCAATTGGAAGTGACTCCAAGAGCAACACCAAGGATTATTCAAGTCTCCCAGCAGCTGGTAACCAGTATTTTCAGGACACACAGGTATACGCTTGAGCCCCAGGAGAGATGGGGACCCCAGCTGACAGATTGTAGGGCAGGACTGCAAGCACTTCCGAAGCTCTCCTCAACCCCAGAGCCATCCTTGCGCTACATTTTGGAGATGGGGGTGGAGACATTTCCCTACATCCTCATTTTGCAAAGGGGTGGTGGAGGGGAGTGGGGGGAGGTGCATTTCTAAACTCCAGCCCTAGGAGGAGAGAAGCAACTGGAGCACTTCCGGATTCTCTTGACCCCACTCCTCTCTCCTCCCCAAGCAAGGAGGAATGATGGCTCTGACTCGTGATCTGAGGAAGAAGGATCAGAACTTATCTTCAGTCCCTTTTCCTCTGGTCCAGAGGGCCTCAGCATGGTATGGACTGATTGTGTCCCCCTAAAAAACTATGTTGAAGTCCTAACCCCCAGTACCTCAGAATGTGACCTTATTTGGAAATAGGGTCTTTACAGAAGTAATCAAGTTAAAATTAGGTCATTAGTGTGGTCCCTGATCCAATGTGGCTGATGTCTTTATATAAAGGGGAAATACAGGCACAGAGACAGTCACGCACAGAGGGAAGGCCATGTGAAGAGGCAGGGCGAAAGCCATGTGACCGTGACGGCAGAGATGGAATTACGCTGCCACAAGCCAAGGAACATCTGGGGCTGCCAGAACCTGGAAGAAGCAAGGAGAGATCCCTCCTCTGCAGGTTCCGGAGGGAGCATGCCCTCCCCACGCCTTGATCTCAGACTCCTGGCTTCCAGAACTGCACAGCAGTACATTTCTGTTGTTCTAAGCCGCCTAGATTGTGGAGCTTTGTTAGGGCAGCCCTAGCAAACTAGTTCACAAGACAAACACTTTCTGTGTGCACCTCACTGTGAACAGCCTGCCACGCAAAGAAAGCCTGCATGTCCACCTGGCCTGTCACTGAGAGGCTTGAATCAGATGGGGGTGCAGTGGGCTAGGCAGGGAGGGGGTGGCTCGTATCACAAACCATGAGCAAGCCTCCTCCTCTAAACAGCTGTTATTGGTAGCAAAGCCAATATGTCGGTCAATGTATTATTTCTTGATTGTTTCTGAGTTTGAAGTAGGGAGAGAGAGCTGATTTTCTGACCTAAACTCCAAATCTAGGCTCAGGCACATAGTCCACCTGTATCAACACATTCAACCCTCATAAGAGCCCTGTAAGGGCATATCCTACTAGTATGCCCATTTTACAGATGAGAAAGCTCAGGCATGAAGAGGTCGAATAACTTACCCAAGGACAATGGATGCTGAGGATTGGGTTGTAGGCAGCCTGGGGCCAGAGTTTGTCCTTGCTTCCTCTGTAAAGGCTACATTCCAAGGAACAAGCCATTAAATGGTCTTGTTAAAGGGATCTCATGGCCAAACATATGAAGAGAACCCTGGGTGAAAAAAAGGAAACTTTTCTTTAATCTCTCCTGATTGTCTCAGAACTTTGCAATGCCACTGTGCCTTATGACTATCAGGATATGGCATGCAGCATTTGACCACAGAGCGCTTTCCAGGGAGCAGCTCTTGGGACTAATGTTCTGAGGAACGCCAGTTTGGGAAACATTGAGAGAATACTTTGGGTGGGAGGTGCTCTTTTGTTTGGATACAGTTCTAGGATTTTTTATGATTTCTGTATGCCACTGAAAATGCTCAGAAAGTCCTTCATTTAGATTTTACAAAGAGTTATATAGATTTGCATATCTAAGGCTGGGCCTCGCAATCTAGGGGCTGAAGCTGACACATCAAGCATTGCAATACAAGCCAGTGGGTTGCTGTGACAGTGGTACTAAGCAAGGTGAGCAGAAGACAAGGCTCAGTCTCAGAGGGAGGAAGGGATGATTTCATGAAGGAGCTGGGGTTTGAGCAGGCCTTGAAGATTAGAGGGGACTTCAGGCAATCATTTTGGATTAACTACTTTAGGCCTAAATTAGTTCTGCTCTAGGATGGGGTCAGAAATCCTAGAGACTAGAGGTCAGTTATGGTCCTAGAGTCTGTAGAGGGGCATTGTTCCTAAGCAGAGATCACAAATTGGTAGTCCCTAGGAAGGATGTGACCAGCAGACTCTTGTTCGGCCGGCACAGTATGGCCGGTGTATGTGTAGGTGTACACACACGTGTAGGTTTAATTCAATCCATGCACTCCTGGGTCTCAGCATCACTCCTATTTTACTTATCTGTCCAGTCCTTGAAGGCATCTGAGTTTCTCTCTTCTAGGCTGGTGTAGCCACATGCCACGGCTAAAAGATGTGGTGCCTTCACTCCCCTATCAGCATTTCACTGTGACAGTACCATGGAAAACATCAGGGAGTTAGGTCCCTGATGGAGAACACTTATGAAATATCCCTCTAGGAATGGTTGGCTGATCCTTCCCCAGCTAGTTACCAAAACCTCCCTCCAAAATGAATTTACTCCAGGGCAGTAGCATATATCTGTGCACTAGCTGCTCCCCTAGCATTCCAGTTCAGTAATTTTTATAATAGAGGCTATTGCATTAAACTCAGCAGATCTGTCATTCTCTTAAATATGCTGGAAAAAGGAGAAGCATAGAATGCCAAATAATTTAAAATATAATTTTTAAATGTCATTAGATAAAGATTTGCAGGCCAGCTAAGTCATTTCCTTTAGGGGCGTTTTATGTTCGTTTAGACATTTCATGGTTTTGGTTGTTCTTCTGTACAACTGTGGTTGTTTCATTACTGTTCAGAAAGTCAACACTGTATGTTTACACTATATTGTTGTGGTTATAGATACTTGAGTGCAACCAAAGTTATCCCTACCTACAGTACTGCTAGTAGAGTGTGGCCACCAGAACTAGTCTGTGCCTCTTTCTAACTGCGGTCACACGGGGTCTGGACAAGATGCCGACAAAACTTTGTGAGCCTCTTCTCAGCTTCTCTTCTCTAGGTGGGTGGAGACAGGAAATCACTCTCTTCACTTCCCCAGTGGAATTCAGGCCTCACGGCTTTACGCTATGCTGCAAAGGGAGCCAGTTTTTTCTTTCCTCTTTGCACAGGCATTTTCCTGGTGAGGACACTGTGATTCTGAGTGATCGTAGGATTCTACAGAACAGGGCCACAGAAATGCCCTAACTGTACACTTCCTAGCTTCCTCTCTGGGCATGCCTCCCTTTGAAGGGGCAGCGTGGCGGTAAGATCCGGGCAGAGCAGTGTGCCCGTGGCTCCCTGCCAGGACAGTGAGATGTTTCTCTCCCCCTGCAGAAAACTCGCCTGTGCCTTCCTCTCCTCTCCCAGGCAGGAAACTGCCTTCATGCTGCTGCGCTGGAGAAGCCACATGTCTACATGTTTATAAATGAATGGAAAGCACGAGGTGGACCAGGTAGGGCAGCAAACTGTGCTTTTCTTTATAAACCCTGCACTATTTGATTTGTTAACTAAGTATTATGACTTTTATTTTTAAAAATATTTAAATCCATCCTTGAACGTTTGGGCTGCTGCCCCATCCATCTGCAAGCAAAGCTTCCTGAGAGAGCTGCCCACACGTCCCTTCTCCCCTTTTCACCTCCTGTACAATATATTTTAAACAGTTACAGGTAACTGATTTTTATCCCATATATGCATGTAATGTTTAAATATTCAACTACTACTAAAAGGTTTTAGTGAAAAATAACACTCCCCCGCCCCGTCTAGCAACCTGGACACCCCACCCCACCCCTCTCCCAGTGGAAACCACGTTCGATTTTTATGCCGTTGCTACTAGTATTTACATATTTTAAAATTATAGGATTATAGTGCTATTTCTTGATCAACTTTCAGCATTTTCTATACACCCCTTATTGCAGAAGTTATAGTATGTCATCACACACACACACCCACGATTTCCCTTTCCGTCTTCTTCTTCTTTTTTTTTTTGAGGAAGATTAGCCCTGAGCTAACATCTGCTGCCAATCCTCCTCTTTTTGCTGAGGAAGACTGGCCCTGAGCTAACATCCGTGCCCATCTTCCTCTACTTTATATGTGGGACGCCTGCTGCAGCATGGCTTGCCAAGCAGTGCCATGTCAGCATCTGGGATCAGAACCGGCGAACCCAGGGCTGCTGAAGCAGAACGTGCAAACTTAACCATTGTGCCACCGGGCCGGCCCCCCCTTTCTTTCTTCTTTCTCTCAGCATAGCCTTATTATAACTTTTGGCTAAGTCGGCAGTCATTTACATTACTATGATCACCAAAAATTCACTGATCAACCCAAGTTGCATGTTATGAATATTTCCTTTTCATACAACATTTTGTTTTTCCTGGAGTTGAAAGTGCCTTTGTTTGGCTTCCCTTGTGTCTACCATTTGTTTTTCTCTAAATGTTCCAACAGATCTGTTCAACCTTTACCAACAATTTTTCCCGAACATTCAAACACATCAGTTCCATTTTCACCCCGTGGCCTCCCTCCAAAAGCCCTGGATCTTCTGTCCCAAGCTGGAGAGGTTGCTTGCCCTCTGGAAGGGCCACATGCATGGCTCTCTTGTCACTATTCTCCTCTGTTGGATACCCTTGTATTAATCAGGGCCGGATATCTGCCATTATAAACAGAGCCCAAAATGTGTGAAAAGGCACACCATTGCTGTTTATTTCTTGCTCACTTCGTGGACTGAACTGTGCCCCCTTATTCACATGTTGAAGCTCTATGCCCAGTGTGACTGCATTTGGAGGCAGGGCTCTTAGGAGGTAATTAAATGAGGTGGTAAGGATGGGACCCTAATCCAACAGAATTGGTGGCCTTATAGGACAAGGGAGAGAGAAAAATCTCTCTCTCTCCACCATATGAGGCCACAGCAAGAAGGCAGCTGTCTGCAAGTCAGGAGGAGTGCTCTCCCCAGACACCTCAGTCTTGGACTTCCGGCCTCAGAGCTGTGAGAAATAGACGTCTGTTGTGTAAGCCACCCAGGCTGTGGTTTCTGTTACAGCAGCCCGAGCAGACTAAGACAGGACCTTTCCACTGCATGATTCCGAGAATATCGGTATCCGACAGTCTTTTCTCACAGGTAATTCAGGTTCTCCAGAGAAGAATCCTCCAATATGCTATCCAATCTCTTGACAGAGTTCTGAGAATACAGCAGGGGATGGGAGTCGGAGAGCTACAATTCAGGGTGAAAATTTTCACTTAATCCCCATATTTATGATTCCATGCCTTGTCCCATCTTTGTGTTGGACCTGGTGTCCCAAAGTCAAGAGTCTCTCTCTAATCCACTTTCTCCAGAGAACAAAATTCCTTGCACCGGCTAGCGGTGCATGGAGCTGTAGTCCTCTGGCTGGGTCATGTAAGGAAGGGGGTCAGTGAGCTCAGTCATTCTATAAAAACTTTCAACTGCCACCCCTGTTTTCATCCAGGCACCTCACCTCCACCTTCTGCAGACTTGGTGAATCCAAGTGCAGAACGTCTAAAGGATTCTACATGGCAAACTGCTTGTTCCTCATCAAAATTCCTCAAGCCTGCCGCTGGCCCCAGGCACACAGGTGCATATCCTCCTGCTCGGCTAGGTGAGGTCAGCTCTGCTTCTCCATATGCTTTCCATCTTCCAAAAATGTATTGACATTGCTTATCTGCTGCTGTCTCCTTTCCTTGTAGTTTTGACCTTACGAGTTATTATCTCTTGTTATTTTTTTGTCCTTATTTGGCAGAGATGCATTAAGGTGCAGTCCCCTAGTATATCTTGAAGCCATTTTGGCAAACTCCACCTCAGTTTTCATCTCCCCAGAAACTGTTCTTCTCAAGGTTGGCAAACATCTCCATTGTTGCCCATGTAATGGAGACTTTTCTAGCCTTATCTTTCCCTGCTACACAGCAGGAGATGACACTGTTGACCCCTCTGTCCTTCACGCAACACTCCTGTCCAGCCATATCCTGGTTTTCTCCTACATTACTGATTCTAATCATCTGCCTTGTTTATTGGTTTCTCCATCTCTACCTGATGTCAAAATATTGGTGTTTCCCAGGTCTTAAAATTGGAAACTGTCTTTTCCAGTCATGTTTTTTCCTTGGGTAATTTCATCCATTCTCATTGCTTTAACTACTATCCACTCCCAGATTAATATTTCCAGAACTCACCTCTCCTCTGAGGTCCAGATTCATCCATTCAACCATCTGTTTCACATCTCTTAAACATTAAATAATTATTTTTACTCATTCAACCATTATTTATTGGGTACTTACTATGTGCTGTGGAATATTCTAGGTTCTTGGGATATATTAGATCAAATCTCTCTCCTTCATGATGCTTATATTCCAGTGAGAGGAGACAAAGATTAATAATTGACCCTATAAAAGGGTTGAGTCATAGTATAACAGAAGGTGAGGAAATAGAAGTGCTACCAAAAAAAAGAAAAAGTAGAGTTCTGGCAATGGAAGAACAGTTATGACTTTAAATAGGATGGTCAATGTAGACCTCGCTGAGATGCTGAAACGTGGGCACAGGTTTCAACAAAGGTTGAAAGAGGTGAGGTCAGGAAGATGTCTAAGATACATGTAGGTAGAGTATTCCCAGAAAAAGGAAGAGACACTACAAAGGTCCTGAGGTGGGAGTGTGCCTGGCATGTTCAAGGGATGGCACGGAGGCCAGTGCAGCTGGAACAGAATGAGCAAGGAGGCATGTAGATGAGGGAGCAACTTTGGCTTTTACTCGCAGTTAGAGGTGTAGTCTTGGGATGACTTTGAGTTACAATTTAAAGGATCCTCTTGCAGCTGCGCAGTGAATAGATACTACAATGGCGTGTGAGTAAAACAACAGAGACCAGGTAGGACCCTTGTGCAGAAATTTCAAACTTAACGTGTACAAAATTGAATTTTAACATTTTCTCCCCTAAATCTATTCTTTCTTACAATCTTTCCTATGTTGATAATGGGCTCCACTCATAAGCTAAGGCCAGACACGTCTGAGTCGTGTTGCTTCCTCCTTTTGCGTCACCTCCGTCTCCCTACATCCGTTAACAAATCCTATCCCTGATCTGTGAATTCCTCCCCATCTCCAAGCCATCATTCCTGATCGATAACCATTGTCTCTTGTCTCTAACAGAAGACAGCAGCCAAGTCAAATAAGGTTCTGGCATCAAATTTGTGACAATTACTGGGGTCTCCTGCCCTGGAGCCCCCAACGGCTGCAGGGACATATCTTCTGATGATTAGGGGAAAGTCCCCACTCACCTAGAGGTCCTCTTGCCTTCACACCCCCAAGTCATCATCCCCCTTCCATCCTCTAAAAAGTAAAATTTTTCTCCATTAATGATTCAAATTTCTTCTATTTTATAAAAATGCTGAGATGATCTTTTAAAACAATTCATTGTGGTAGAAACCAGCAAAACAATACAGAAATCAGAAGAAACAGCCATAAAATTTTCCATTTAGGGAAGGAAGAAAAACACAACTATGAAAGCATTCTTCTGCTTTTTTCTCTCTGCCACCCAAGTTCTATTTGTACTCGATGAGGCCAAACTAAACGTTTTCGCCTTGTTTGGAACTCCAAGGATTTTTCCATTCTTCTTTTTTTCCCCAGACCACAGCAGTCTTCTTCCAGTAGAGCTGGTTGACCTCAATTTTTCACCATAATCCCATTGGATTTCTGTCCCCAATTTCTCTAGAGAATGTCATTTGAGTACCTATTTCAGTGCCAAAAACAAGAGGGAAATTTTAGTTGAAATTTTTTTTTTCACTGATTACCACTCAGTGAAGCTGGGATGCTCTATGATTAAAAAGGGATTCTTTCTTTCAGACAAGTTTTCATTTGGTGGGAAGTATGCATCCATCCTCCTGTCGTGGGTACTGGGGAAAGACTTCATGAGAGGCAGTCTGAAGGACTAACAAATTGCCTTATTAAGCGGTAGTCTCGATTTGCTTTGCTTTATTGACCACTTCATTTGTTTCCTTAGTATTTCTGCAATTGGAAGCATTTCTGTTCCTGCAAAGGAAGAACAGTGCAGTGGTTCAGAGCGCGGGGATGCTGAAGCCAGCTGTTTAGGGTTTAAGCCCAGCCCAGCTACTTCTCCGCTGTGCAACTGTGGGCAGCTGCCCCTTTCTCTCTCAGTTTCCCCATCCTGCTGATGCAAGACTGAGCTATGCCCAGCATATTCTAAGTGCAATGGAAGCACTAGCTACATCTAAGGGTTAGGGCTACATTTGCTGCTAAAGATCAAATGATAGGCAAGACTGACACCATCTTGCCCTATGGCGTTTTCTAGCTGTAGAAGTTAGCAAATGACTTAACATAAGCC